GAATATTGTTGTCTGTCTTGAGGACCAGGTTCTTCTCCCTTTTGGGCTCTCTTCTTTCATTGTCCTTCTTCTTCTTCTTCTTCTTCTTCATGTCATATGTTTTCAGATTACCGACAAGCTCATCAATGGTTAGCTCCTACAGTCCTTCGCCTCTGTAATAGCATTCACTTTGCTTTCCCAGGAGCTGGGCAGGACACTGAGTATTTTCCTGACAAGTTTGTTTTACGGAATAATTTCTCCAAGAGAATGAAGCTCATTGATGATAGAGGTGAAACGAGTGTGCATGTCTTGGATGGATTCATCATCTTTCATCCTAAAAAGCTCGTAGTAAGCATATCAATCTTTGATTGCTTGACCTGTATTGTTCCTTCATGAGCTGTCTGAAGGCCCTCCAAGATTTATTTTGTTGATAGGCATGCCGATATCCTATTATATTTATCAGGACCAATGTCACAAACAAGGATTTTCTTTGCACGACAATTCTTTTCTACGGCCTTTTGACAGCGTCATTGAATTCCTTCCTCATCTTGGGAATAGCTACAGCTGGGTCGCCACGATTCTTGGTAGGAACATAGGTTTCATCACAAATAACATCCCATACCTCTGAATCTTCATCTATGATGAAGTCGTGCATCCTAGTACTCCACCATCCATAATATTGACCGTTAAACCTTGGTGGTCTGTAAGTAGACTGGCCTTCTTCGAAGTTTGGCGGAGCCGCCATGAGGATCCTTTATAGGTGTTAACCTGATAGAAAGAACCTCCCCTGATACCAATTGATAGAATTTAAGGGTCCACCAAACTGTATAGAGAACCAGGTTCTCTTTTAGTTCCCACTGAAACCACGCACACTGCTGTAAGTGAATGACAAGAGGAACTGTACGTGGAAAATTCCCAGCTCAACAGGATTAAAAACCATGACCTACCCTTGTAGGATTTCAACTTCACTGCTGAGCAACTTTCAGATTACAACCTATGTAACCTAGGAATTAACCTCTTAATCCCCCAATAACTTTTATCACTATATTACAAGCCACTTTGTAATAACTATATTACAAAGACTTTACAACTCGACTAACTCTAGCCAAGACACAAACACAAGGGTTTATGATTTACAAAGAGTTTCTTACACAATGCTTCTAAACAAGCTAAGTATGAATTACAATTGAAGAACTATTACAATGTTACAACTCAACTAAGGACATACAATAACTTGATATGGGGAACTGGTCCGTAGCAGTGTTATTCTTTGTTCTTGATGCACTTGAGAATCGTTTTCGTGATGATCAATCACAGTGAGTGTGCTTGAGTGAAATCTCTAAGTGTTCAAGTGATTTGTTTTACCTTCCTTGATGTTAATATTACATTTGTGACATCACTTAGGATGATGTAAGCAAGGTAGGTAAAAGATACTCCCCATAAAGTTGACTGTTGTACTGTTTCTGCACTGTAGCGTGTGCAGGCAGCAACTTTACAGCTGGGGCAGTTGACTTGTGCAGTTTCCTCAGGAAACGGTAGCTATCTATTCTCTATGTTGTTCCTTTGACTCTGAAGAGTTGAACCATATCCCAAGCTGGAACCTTTTAATCTTAAGATCTTGAGAATGTGTAACATATTTCTTATCTGGTTCTTGACAGTTAGTTTGTTAGATCATCAAAACATAAAATAAGGTACTTGTAACCTATCATTTGGGCATACCTTTTTGTCATTAAATTACAAAAGTTACATAGTTTGCCGCGTTTAAGATAGAAATTTATTGTGGTTGGACATATATTTCTTGCTTCGGCTGTTATAGTTAGTCACTCACAGTTGTTATGTATATTATTCTTTTGAGGCATACATTTCTACTCTTCAAGCTCCTTACGTGCCATTGTCAGTATAGAAATAATTAAAATCATATATAGATGTGGAAGTAGTGCAGAAATATATCTTATTTCATATTTTTCATCATATCCCGCCGCAATATATTATGATTTTTTATTTTTCCATTGAAATATATCTTTATTTATCCATTGCCAATTGACACACACACACAAAAAGATCTTCAAGCTCCTTACGTGCCATTGTCAGTATAGAAATAATTAAAATCATATATAGATGTGGAAGTAGTGCAGAAATATATCTTATTTCATATTTTTCATCATATCCCGCCGCAATATATTATGATTTTTTATTTTTCCATTGAAATATATCTTTATTTATCCATTGCCAATTGACACACACACACAAAAAGACTCTTCCTGCTCAAATTTAGAAAAAGGTCCTATGCCAGCAAACATTATTTTAGGTATATGACATCAGTAAAAAGTAACATATAAGATATGAATAAAGAAAAGACAAAAGACGTTTACAGAATCACTTTCCATTTGTTGAATATTAGAATTCTAACAATAACAACAACAACAACAACCACTTTCCATTTGTTGAATATTAGAATTCTAACAACAACAACAACAAAAAACTTAGTATAATCCCACGAGCGGGGACTGGAGAGGGTAGTGTGTACGCAAACTTTACCCCTACCTTGAGGGCAGAGAGACTGTTTCCGGTAGACCTTCCGCTCAAGGAAAGAAAAAGAGAGCTGTGACAACAAGTAATACCAACAACAAGATAATAAGAAAACATGTATTAATCAAGACTGTCAATAACCGAAATACAAGGTTGTGACTATTGCTGCTACTGGTATGGGAAAGACACACACTCGATTACCTACTAACCTTCTACCCTAATCCTCGACCTCCACACCTTTCTATCAAGGGTCATGTCCTCAGTGAGTTGAAGCAACGCCAAGTCTTGCCTAATAACCTCTCCCCAGTACTTCTTTGGCCAACCTGTACCCCTCTTCAGACCACCCGAGGCCAACCTCTCACACCTCATCACTAGAGCATCTGTGCTTCTCCTCTTCACATGCCCAAACCACCTAAGCCTCGTTTCTCGCATCTTATCCTCCACCGAGGCTACTCCTACCTTGTCCCGGATATCTTCATTTCTAATCTTATCTATCCTGGTATGTCCACACATCCATCTTAACATCCTCATTTTCGCTATTTTCATCTTCTAGACATGAGAGTTCTTGACTGACCAACACTTTGCTCCGTACAACATGATAGGTCTGAACACCAATCTGTAAAATTTACCTTTAAGTTTAGGTGGCACATTCTTATCACATAAAACACCGGATGCGAGTCTCTATTTCATCCCCCCCGCTCCAATACGATGAGTAACATCCTCATCAATCTCCGTATTTTCTTGGATAATAGACCCAAGGTACTTGAAACTAGTTCTCTTATGGATGACTTATGTATCAAGCCTCACGTCCACGTCTGCACCCTCAGTTTCGTCACTGAACTTGCACTCCAAGTACTCAGTCTTGGTCCTATTCAACTTGAAACTTTTAGACTCCAAACCTCCAGTCTTGTGTCTCGTTAATCAAAATAATACATACACTAAGGCATCTCCCCTTGAATGTGGCGTGTTAGTGTGCCCAACGCTAGGAAAAATAAGAATAGGCTAAGAGTCGACCCCTAGTGCAACTCCATCACAACTAGAAACTGGTCTGAATCCCCTCTCCCCCCCTCCCCACACGGTCCTCACTCGTGTTTTGGCTCCATCATACATGTCCTTAATCATCCTAGTGTAAGCCACCGGAACACCCCTAGCCTCCAAACACCTCTATAGAATCTCCCTCAAAACTTTGTCATATGCTTTCTCTAAATCAATGAACACCATATGTAAGTCTCTCTTCCTCTCCCGTTACTGCTCCACCAACCTCTTTACAAGATGAACGACTTTCGTAGTCGAACGTCCCGACATAAATCCGAACTGGTTTTCGAAAATAGACACGCTCTTCCTCACCCTCGCTTCCACCACTCTCTCCCAAACTTTATAGTGTGGCTCAGAAACTTGATAACCCTATAGTTGTTACAATTTGGGATATCTCCCATATTCTTATACACCGGATCATCGTACTCCACCTCCATTCTTCAGGCATTTTTTTCATCCTAAAGATGGTGTTAAGCAACCCAGTGAGCCGTTCCAAGCCAGCTCTACCCACGCTCTTCCAAAATTCTACCAGAATTTCATCTGGCCCAGTCGCTCTTCCCCTGCACATCTTACGCATAGCCCCCTCGACCTCCCCCATTTTGATACTCCTACAAAAACTAAAGTCACGCCGACTCTCGGAGTGCTCCAAATCATCCAACACAATACCCCTATCCCCTTATCATTTAGGAGTTTATGGAACCATGTCTGCCATCTACGTCTAGTATGCACATCATCCATCATACTCTACCATCCTCATCTTTGATGCACTTCACCTGATCCAGGTCACGGGCCTTTCTTTTTCTCACCCTGGCTAGCCTGTACTGCTTTTTATCTCCACCCTTCTCACTAAGTTCTTCGTACAAACGTCCAAATGCTTACGTTTTAGCCGCCGTAATCGCTAACTTCACCTCTTTCTTGGACCTCTTGTACCACTACTAGTTCGTCCTTGCTCTCCACGAGTTTCAAGTGCGTCGCTTTCTTGGCTTCTATCTTTCCTTGGACCTCTCCATTAATATTCCACCACCAATTTCCCTTGTGACCTCCAGAGTAACCTTTCGAGACCCCCTAGCACCTCTCTAGCAGCTTCCCTAATGCAGTTCGCTGTCAAAGTCCACATACCACTTGCGTCCCCGCTACTCTCCACGCCCTCGTAGCTTCTAGCTTCTCCCCTAACACCCGAGCTGTGTCCTTAGTCAAGGCTCTCCACTTGATCGAATGTTAGAATTCAACAAATTCAAAGAAAATGATGATCATCTATTACGAATTCGTTGGAAGGAAAAAGTTTACTCATAATAAGTTAATTAACTGACCATTTCCATAGGGAAGGTTCCTACATTTTCACTTTTATAGGTCTCATTGAGGTCCATTTCTTGGGCCTCTTCTATCATTTTTCTTGGCCCAATTTGTGTTTCCTTTTTGTTCTCATCCAAAAAGCCTAGTTTAATGATTAAGGTGACACACGTCCCTATCCTCATTTTCATAATCAAGATTAGCTCTGACTAGGGTTTTATATATGCCCCAGCTGGGTCTAGAGCACAGAACTCTTCACATTACAAGCGAATCAAGCGCACGAAATTTGAATTTTGTCAGGTAATATCGACTCATTCTAATCTTATTTCTTTCATTTCTTTTCTGAATTCATTTTTTTCTCTTAGATGTTCCTACAATTTCGTCGAATTTTAATTAATTCCAAGTCTCTTAAGCTTATAGTTTCAATTTTGAGTTCTTGCTGATTTATCATTTCAAATTTAAATAAGTGCTGTGGAAGCGATGAGAATCTAGAACGTTGTAGACACTGAGTTTAGATCTTCTTTTGCCTAATTTAAGCTGATTTTTTAGACCGAAAATTATGTGTTGATTTTGCGGCTAATTTAGATACTTCGTCTCTATCAAAAATCTTGTCGGTGACTCATAGTTAACATTTTCTTTGAACTTTGATGAACTGAGTAGTGGTACAGTGAGTATATTAATTATTATGTCAAGAACTAGTATAAAATTCTTGATATAGCTCTCACCTCCTGAAAGTTTGATTTAATTGAATGTTTGATTTTATCTTGCTTTTTTTTGTTTGGAAGAAGAAATGAACCATGTATTGATTTCTTAAACTTGGTTTCCTCTATTTGTTTTTGAGATTTATGTGACATTAATGGATGTAGTGGAGTGCCAGAGATTTTATGGGTGTATTGCTTAAGCTCTTTCTTTCATTGTTGGTTTTTTCTTTCTTGATAACTTAGAAAAAAGGAACTTGTTAAGAAACTTGGGAGCAATTAGAACTGCTCTTTGACATTTAAACTCTGCCTCTTTCTTTGTCTGTTTGAGTGTAATTGAATTGTTTTTAATACTAAGGGTGTGTTTGGTAGGAAGGAAAATATTTTCCAATTTTCCCATGTTTGGTTGGCTTAAATGTTTTGGAAAACATTTTCCTTATCAATTCATTTTCCTCCAATTGGAGGAAAATGTTTTCCTTATCAAGAGAAAGGAAAACATTTTCCAAAGCTCCTTCTCAACCTTCCCCACCCTCAACAACCCACCCCACCCCCTCTCCAAAAAAAGGTTTTTTTTTACTTTTTTTGTAATTTAAATTTCTGTTTTTGTTTTTTTCGTTTTACTGCACCCCCCAGCCCCGCCCCCACCCCCTGCCCTCCCCCTCGAAAAAAATTTTTAAATATATTTTTCAGTTTTAATTTTATTATTTATCTGTTTAAAGACTCAAAATTTTACAAGTTCCAAAATTATAAGTTTGGAGGTTTATGTGTTTGAAAGTTTACGGGTTTAGAAATTATAAAGTTTACGGGTTCGAAATTCCGCGGTTTTGAAAGTTTAGCGGTTCGAAAGTTTATGAAATTTGTGGGTCCGGAAGGTGGTTGGTTTGAAAGTTTATGGCTTCATGTTTATTATATCTAAATTATTTATGAATACTCTTGAGAAGTCATTTTCCTTAATTTGCGTACCAAACACCGGAAAATGAATAAGATTACTACTTGTTTTCCTTTATAGCTACTATAGCTAATCTATGGTGTGGACCTTAGCTCAGTATGGAGGGCAGACTACCTTCTTACAGAGTGCTCTATCCCTAGAAGAAACTCTATTTTAGCATACTCTCTTTCTTTGGAAATGATATGATACTAAATTTAGATACTAGCTACTAGAAGAGGAATAAAAGCATATAGCTAAAATGCCTAAGAGAGCCCGAGGCCAGGAAAGCTTCGATCCTTATGAAACAAAGAGGCAACAGAGAAAGAGGCCTAACCACAGAATGAAAGACTTTAGATTCGCTAGCTCGGTAAGAACAATCAGAATACATCTGACCTCACACGGGAGGCCCCGCGCCGAGTGATTCTCCCCCAAAAAACTCTACATGTGATGTTCCGAAAACAGAAACATGTAATTTAGTAAATTAGAGCCCATTGTGGGGTGCAACCAGGGAACAACTATCAACTAGTTTGAAAAGTTCTTCCATTTAGTAATGGAAGTCATCCGTTGTCACTTTCTAAGGGTATGGTAGAGAGGCTTGAGAAGGTGGACAATCCTTCAGTGGACCTAACGAGAGGCTGAATTCAAACACACCCAAAATCCACAAAAGAAAACATTTTCCACGGAAAACATTTTCCGTTATACCAAACACACCCTAAAAGGTAAATATATTCGTATTCCTCTTCAACTTTGTGGTTGATGGGAAGAGCAAAGCAGTGCTACTAGTTTTGAAGTAGTTCTAACATATTTTTTTATTTTATTTAAAGAAATAGGTTAATTTAAAGAATGTAATGTATTTCTTTTCCTGTAGCTGCATTTCTATTTCTATCAGAAACATGCAATGCTGATAGCTAGGTCTAGCAGATATAGCAACTTCTCTGTTTGAAATTTGTTTCGTTTTGTCATACTTTCTTTGATAATTATGTATAAACCTTATTTGGAATGAAATAGCTGTCAGTTATCTCGAATTACTATCAATCTCTTAGCCATTTTCGCCATTTCTATACCTTCGCATTTCTTTTGCCAAACGAAACCGTAGATGTTTTGATGGGATCTCAACTTCAAATCATGCTCTTAAAGTTAAATGTTTAGTGGATTTATTTAGCTGGCTTAACCAAACTCCTGTATCTAGCTGTGAACAACTTTTGGAAGGTTTATGCTCTCTATTTATAGATTAATCTTTGTATCTGAGCAGTCACCTTTTTCCCTCTTGTAAATTTTTGTCTGCATCTTCTTAATGTCTTTAATGATAACTTATTACTTAATCAAAAAACAAAAAAAAATCTTGCAGATTCTTGGTAGGATTTGGATGCACTGCCACCTATTACTTTGCTCTTCCATAGGATTTAAATCTATATTAAGGTCTTAGTAGAAGCTGGCTAAGCACTTAAGAATCTAAAACTTATCATCTGCCGAGATGATAGTATAATACATAATATTGGGGATAGACGATTACATGTAGCTTTAGACATGTCTTACGCAGAGCAGTCCTGTTGCACCTTTTTGTTCTCCTCCATTGTTATATGCTTGTCTTCTACCTCTGGAAGCTACGTGGGGTTTTGATTTTCTATCCAAAACTTACGCTGTTAGTGTTTAGGAGTTTATTTAGTAGGGTAGTCGGTATATCGGTGGAACAAGCTTGCATTTATTTGAAGAAGTACCAACCTTTTACTCACCTCAGTTGTTTCCTTTACATTTCGTTGGTTATGTAAAATCCTGTGACTTCTCCCCATTCCTTGGTTTTTTTATATTGTCTTCGGTAGATATGTTTTCAAATATGTTTGTCTTGTTACTGATCTCTTCTATGCAATGTCTTGCAGAAATAGAATCTCTATTCTTTTGAGAACTTGTCAGGTGTCTTTCTTCATTTCCGGATGGGAGACACAGAGAATTCTCTTCAACCATCAAAGAAAAGGGCGGCTCTAAAGGAAATATCACGGGACAATCCTGGTATTGATGATGATGAAGATACAGCTGATCAAGAAACTGGAACTTTCAAGAGAGCAAGCGAGGAGGTGATGGCAAGTAGAAGAATTGTCAAAGTTCGTCGCAATCAAACTACATCAACCACAACTGCACCTTCATCTAATCCTTTTGCCGCGATTCGTTTGCCTACTGAATCTGGTGTCACTTCTGCTGTGACCACAAGCAATGTTGAGAGTGGGAAACCAGAAGAAACAGGTGATGTTGGTGAGGCAACTGGAAAGGAAGAAGGTGATGTGAATAAGGAAGGTAAAAAGGAACCTGATCAAACTTCTAGGACATCAGAAGGTAATGTTGATGAACCTAACGTTAACAAGGAGAAAGTTGAAATTCCTAATGAGCCTGAAAAACCAGAATCTGCTGAAAAGAAGGTGGCTGAAGATGAGAAAATCCAGGATGAAACCAAGGCAGGCACAGTAGTTGAGAAGAGCGAAAGTGAAAGTAAGAAGGATGTGGAAGTCGAGAAAACAGAGAATGAAGAACAAATTGATGCGGGTGGTGAAAAAAGTGAGAAGGGTACAGAAACTGCATCATTTAGCTCATTCCAACAGCTTTCAAGTAGCCAAAATGCTTTCACAGGACTTGCAGGGACTGGGTTCACCAGCACTACGTTCTCCTTTGGAGTTATTTCAAAAGAGGGATCTCCTCTAGGCTTTGGTTCTGAATCAGGTGCTGGTTCTGGTTCTCTCTTTGGAGCAAAAGGTGACCAGCCATCTTTTGGGGTTACTCTTCCCACTAACGGAAATAACTCTCTGTTTGGAAACTCAGGGTCATCCATTGTGAACAAGGGTGAGGGTACTGGATTTCCTTCCAAAGAAGAGGTCTCTGTTGAAACAGGGGAGGAGAATGAAAAGCCCGTATTCACAGCTGATTCCGTGCTGTTTGAATTTCTTGATGGAGGATGGAAAGAGCGGGGCAAGGGAGAACTAAAGGTAAATGTTTCTACAGCAGGAGAGGGAAAAGCTAGACTTGTTATGAGGACCAAAGGAAATTACAGGTTGATCTTGAATGCAAGCCTTTACCCAGAAATGAAGCTCACAAATATGGACAAAAGAGGGCTTACTTTTGCTTGCCTGAATAGTGCTGGTGACGGGAAAGAAGGGCTTTCTACAATTGCTCTGAAGTTCAAGGATGCATCCATTGTTGAGGAGTTTCGAGCTGCTGTTGCGAAACATAAAGGTACTACAACTGGTTCCTTGAAAACACCTGAAAACTCTCCTAAAGCTTCAGATGATTGACTTTGCAGTATAGATGCATAGAGACTATTTTCATCACGGAATGTGCCCTACTATTTTCTTTTAGTTGCAGAGAAGAAAAGATAAGAACGAGGGAATATTTTGTCTGAGAGATAAGAAACTTGTAATCCTTCATAGCAGAGTTTATTATAGCCATTGTGCCGTTCATCTGTTGTAGACCTTGACTGAGCAACTTTAAATACATTTCCTCTCTTTTTTTCGGGATGTACTGAGGCATTATTGCCATTGTGTGTTGCCTTCTCTCCGGGATGCTGTTACGTAACTTTAGTTGATGAGCTCCTAAGGCTATAATTCAATGGTAAGGACGAAACATGTGATGTGTGGTTAGAGGCATAGCACATGTTGATGTTAGGATCCTGCCGCAGGTAAAGGGTCGAGTCCATACTCACCGAAGTTTCTTTTGATATCTGAGAAATCCCCTGTGCCCAACTGGAGTGGGGCATAGTCCACAAGGATTTCTCCGATATCAAAAGAAAAAAAGATACTTGAGTTGATGCGAGTTTAGGCTTCTATTGTCTATTTTAATTTTGTGCTTTTGTGGGGTCGAAGCTGCTATTATTAGTGTAGATTGCAGAAAGATTATCAGCTCAGGTTGGTTGCTTGGGACATTATGGTCCCGTCTCAGTTTATACCCGGTTAACTAAGTGGATGACAACTGGTTAATTTTCACACATGAAACACTGTGACCGGTTGACAGAATTTGGATTAAAGTTGTTTTTTTTTTAAAAAAGAAGTTGAAGTTACAAAAGAGTTTGTAGAAGGTGAATTCAGTTGTGTTTAGATTGTGAGAATTTTAAAAAAAGAAAGAAATCAGTATGGTATTTTATACCTTATTGGAGTTTAGGTTAATTCGGATTTAATGCCAAAGAGTAAGTCAATGTCTGTCTACTTGATCCGTAGAAGAACAGATTTCTCCTTTAGTAATGATCAAGAAGTGAATAGACTTCTATATCTTCCTTTCTTCACGTGCAATCATTAGCTCTTTTGTTGCTTTTGCATTCCGTGGTTCACGGGTATGGATAGGCAATTTTCTTCATTTGATATGCGCATCCATAAATCCCACAGATATTAGAGTTAACTTTTGTCGAACAGATCTTGTTGAGATAGTGGAAAAGGGATGAACTACTTATTATGAACCCCATTCACGAGCACGCGAAGACAACAGTACAATGAAGAATACTACTAATAATTGATTACATGTGATAAATTGTCGTCACAAACCAACAAAAGCAAACTGCATTCACTCAACTTAAGAAATGCAGACAAATCATCAGTGGAGAATATTGTAATTCTTCGGTACAAATCCCTTGTTTTTCAGGGAAGCAGTTAATTACAAGATCAGTAAAAAGATGGCCAACTTAGACTACAAAATATTAAAAAAAACACATTCTTTTGCAGATTGATTTTGCATACTTAACTGTGAAAAGGAGAGTGAGGAAAAACAAGAAAAATCAAAAAGATAAAAAGAGGATAATTAAATCCCACAAAATGAAATACAGTCCTCAGTAGTGATGCCACCAGTTTGCCATTTCTATGGTGACGAGTAGCTCTTAGTGCAGTTTCTTGAACAGGATCCCACACAATCATCCATCTTTTCACCATCTACATAGACAAGAAAAAATTAAGGCAGAGGAAAAAAATAAAAAAAGACAACAACAGAAAGATAAGCCAGAGAAATGTTTTTGTTAACATTAAAAAAAAAGTTGTCCTAAGCAGGAAGCATCCCGCGTTTATGCAGGGTTGGGGGAAGGGCTACAACCCAAAAGGATGTTATATAGGCAGCTTATCCGTGACTGATTTCACAGCTCGACCCGTGACCGGTCACACTTCCCATTTATTTTTGTTAACATTTATAACCAAAAATGAGGAAATACTTACTAGGTTGATGTTTTTTGCTGAGAGTGGAGCAGGTAGAAAAGGCACAACCCAATTTGCAGAAGTTAAGGTTGCTACTGTCTGCTTTATGTTGAATACTATTGGTAGAAACAGAATTACCAGAATCTGAATTGAAGATGCATTGTTTCAAGCATTTGGTAGTGCATTTGCATACAGTTTGAGAAGGGTCAATCATACAGAAGATGAAGCATCTAGTATAGCAATCACTGAATGATGCACTAGATTGCCCTACAAACAATCCCAAAAACACTATGGCTATAACAAATGCCCTTAACTTCATTGACTCCATCTTCTCTTTTACTCCCTTTTTTCAACTATATTTTGGCCTGAAGTGGACACACATATATATAGTGTTTCGAAGGGTAAGCAATGAGCCAAAAGAACACAGACATTTGGGCTGTGATTAATTATTGTAGAAGTGGTGGTGTTTGGTATTAGCTAGATTCGTGGGCAGAGGCGGACCCAGGATTTAGAGGTAGCGGAACTAAAATTTATTTTGTATATAAGGTGCACTACTAATATATAATTATTTTTTAACGACATATATATGTATATATAAAATTCTTATTGAACTTTACGGGTGTCGATGACCCCTCGTTATATGAGGTATGTCCGCCTCAGTTCATGGATATTGGCATTGAGGACGAGTTTAACTCTATGAGTGACGTTGTAGGAAAATATTTACACTATGAGGTTATTTATAAAACAATTACAAGAAGATCTTTAAGTAATTAATAACTTGATAAAAATAATAACGATCCTGCTATTATTAAATTATATTAATAGTGGTAAAAAAATTTTTTATATTGCCTATGTACTTACAATTTAAGGTCAATTGAGAATTTAGTCCGAAGTTGGGTTTGCATGTGATTTTTTTTTTTTTTTTTTTTTTTTTTTTTTTTTTTTGTCGCAAATAAGATCCGTGGAGAATGAATTAAGTTGGATTTACATGTGATTGTTTTTTGTCTTTGCCTATGGTACATTAATTTAGGAAAGACTGTCAACAAGGACAAAAAAAGAGAGAGAGTACTTGCTTAGACTTAATATTTTTTTCTTCTTAATACCATACAGGGAAAAAGAATTAAAATTGACTTTTCTCTTTTCCCTGTTTATTTACTAAAACCATCATTTACTTAAACCATAATTGTATACAGCGAGGATGTGACTTAATTATAAAAAGAAAAAAAAGTGTAATACTAATATTCTAAGCTCCAATATGGCACCGACCCATCATTATTTTCCTCTTCTGTTAACCACTCTTTGCTTGAAATGAAATTTGGATCCAAAAATCACAAGGATCTTTCCCTGCTTTTCTGCAAGGGTCTATTGTACGCAACCTTACCCTACTTTTCTGTAAGAAGCTATTTCCATGATTTGAACCCATTACCTCCTGGTCACATGGCAGCAATTTTGTCGGCATAATTTTTATGCTGACAAACCAACAAATATTCTTTTTATTGGGTCAATTTGCATTATAAAATAAGTCAATTGACCAATGTTTTTTGATAATTTTGATGAGCGTGTTATACTTTTATAAATTAAATTTGACACGCTAAAAGATTTAATAATGATGAGATGAAAGAAAGATATTGTAAGTGTGCCCGCCCAATTAAAGATATTACAGGAATAGAGCAGTGGGGAGTTATGAATTCTGAGTGGCGTTAGTGCTATGTTTGGTGAGTTTTTGTGCAGAGCCATGATCTCTATTTAGTGCTCAGATACGTGTCCTCCAATTCTGTATTAGTAGACGGAAATTTTCCTCTTCCTCCATTATACCTTCGCCGATTATTTTTAATTTAAATGATGGCTAATCGGTTAATTTTTCTTTATGTACCCATTCGCTCATGAGTATTGTTGGTTCGGTGATGGGCTTTGACTGGTAAACATAGAAGACCTGATTATTCAACGGCCCAATATTTGGGCATTTAAGCATTTTCGTATGTTTATCTTACACAGCCCAATCTCTCTTTCGTCGAAATTATTTGTAGGAAGATCATAACTAGGATCATTTAGTGCAAAAATTTCCAAAAAATATGATATTTTGTGGGGTGATGTTTAACTTTTGACCCCTACTTGCTCTATGAGCAAATTTTCGGGTCAAGGGTTAAAAGTGTTGCCATGAGAAAAGCGAGAGACAATATTTTTGAAAACTTAAAGTTATGGCCATTGGGCAAGCGATGATAAAATTTCAAGTACTTCATCCCATTTAGTGCTACTGTTTATATTTTGACCCCATTAAAAAAATCAAAAAAAATATTCTGATGCCAAAATTTTAAAGTTCACTACCATAATTTTATTTGAAAAATCTGGTAGCAAACTTTAAAATTCTGGTGGCGGGACTATTTTACCAAAATTTTTCTTAACGTGATCAAAATATTACTCCCTTCGGTTCACAATAAGTGTCTAATTTACTTTTTTATTTTGGTTCAAAATAAGTGTCCAGTTATGTAATCAAGAAAGAATTCAATTTGTTTTTACAAAATAACCCCTATGTACATATCCCTAAAAGTTTTCTTACTCCTCACATTAAATGTTTAATTAGGGGTAGTTTAGTCATAGTAGGTATTTTTGTATAGAATTTAGTATTTTCTTAATGGGCGTGCTAAAAGTAAATTGGACACTTATTGTGAACCGGAGGGAGTAATAGTTGTTCTAAAAACATCCATCCGGCATAATTTTTGTATAATTTGCGCGCGCGAGAAACATGTTATTGTTCTATATTAAATAGCGGTGATCATAGAAAATTATAAACTTCAAATCTCGAATTACACCTCTATATACAAAGCCTTTATTGTTGACTCGGTATTTTGCTTTCCTCGACAAGTCTCATTAAGTCTGAAAATCAATTATTGTAATGATATCAATTAAGAAAACAATACTCTTGTTATCAAGAGAAAGAACCAAATTATCGGTATTTTAACAATTAGCAAAATTATATCCATCATAAAAGATGAAAAGGTTTGGAGAATTGAAAATCAAATTATCTAACTTTTAATCTCAATACGAACATAAATTTCTCAATTATTCAAAATTAATTAAGATGTATAAACAATATAAATGTATAACTAAAATAGTTTAAAACCACATGTAAAAATCTTAAACTCAAAGGTTCTATATAAAATGAAGTAGATAGAGTAAAAGTTTGTATAACGGAAATCTGTAAATACTTATCTGCAGTTCTGCACCGATAGTTATACGTAAACAAAAATTAATTTAAAATTAAAATGTATATATAAAGTATATATTTTATATGTATTGATTTGATATACATATTTTATACGTTTAAAAAAAAAAAAATAGAGGAAGATATGGTTCGGAAAGAGAGAAGGAAAACAGAAAACCCAACGGCTAAATGACCATTGACCACCGACCTATAATAGGAGAGCAGCAAGTCCACGGTCCAACCCGAATCAGAATCCGAATCCAAACGGGAATGTAAGACGACTTCCCCTACATATAATATGCTGACGACACGCACCGTATGAGAAAAGACGTGAAAAAATTTATCCACAAAATAATCGACTTGGGTTGGGTGGGTAGAGGAATTAATCTACCATCTAAAATTCTAGGGTTTTCAATTGCCCCTAATCTAACTCTACAAAAGATTCAGATCACACCCCAAAACCTCAACCTTTATTTATTAATCCCTGATTCTTCAAAGTTTTAGTTTATTGTTCATAAAAGTTTCGTTCTTTTATGTTTTTGGTGTGAACTGTTGCGAGATTTAGCAGTTGAAAAATGGCGAGTGCGAGAGAAGCAGAAGCGGAGTACGAGAGCGACCCGGAAGAAGCGAAGTTGTCATTGAAGATGCGGAGGAGAGAGGCGAGCGATGACGAGGAGGAGGAGGAAGAAAGGGAACCGGAGGAGAGAGAAAATCCCCATCGGAGGATTGAATCTGACGGCGAATCGGAGGGACAAGGCGCTGCTGCCGATTATGACGAAGAAGAAGAAGAATACGATGATGAAGAGTACGGGGAGGACGAGGAGGATGAGTACGAGGACGCTGGTGGAATTGTTGGCGATGGTCACGAGGAAAGTGTTACGGAGGAGGTTGAGGCAGTAGCGGAGGGTGCTGATGGAGTGAAGGTGGTTGTGGGCGAAGGAACAGGGTCAGGTCAAGGGATTGGTGATGGCAATGAGAATAATGTGCTGCCGGGGGAGGAAGAGGAGAAGAAAGAAAATGAACCCTTTGCAGTGCCCACTGCTGGAGCGTTTTACATGCACGATGACAGGTTTCGAGACAATGCCAGTGGACGACACAGGTATTGTCCATTCTCTATGCTCAGAGATAGTGCATTAGTATCTGATTTGATACAGTAATTTGTTTTGCACTCTATATGTGTATAGCATCGTGTCTTGGTAAATATTTTTTTTAATCAGCTGGTTGCTCTCAGAAATTAAAGCTATATGGAACATGGAAGGTTTTTGTACTTTATGTGCCATCTTAACTCGTCAAATACTATGAACACATGTAGAGATATTTAGTCCAGTGGAGTGATCAGTGTTATCAAAGGCGAAAAGAGCAAAAAGGCTCTAAGGCCCGTCGGGGCTTTAAGCGCAAATAAAGCGTGAGTGTGAATGAAAGAAGGCGCAACTTGAGAAAAAGTAAAAATATGTATATGTAGTCCAAGACCAATAATTATAAGCATGAATAACAAATATATGGACAAAACAGTTGAAAAAAAAATACGATAAAGTGAAATATCAATTTATTTTCAGGATTATACTCGTTGGCAGGAAAAAGTATGTCTTAGAGCCTTGATGCGACACTTAGTGCCCGCAAAGCGAGGTGAAGCGCTTTGAGCCTCACTTTAGGGCTTAAGCGCACTTTAAGCGCGCCTTTGACAACACTGAATGTGATTTGATAGAGTAATTAGTTTGGCACCCTATGTATAGCATCGTGTCCTGGTCAATATTTTTGATAATCAGCTGGTTGCTTTCAGAATTTTAAAGCTATATGGACCATGAAGGTTTCTTTTGGATATTCTACCTAGGTTAAACTCATAAATATTTCGTCTGCTAAGCAATTAATAACGATAGTTGTGTTAGCTCCTGAAACATATTGTAGACATCTGCATTTACTGGGAAGAAGCCTCACTTCGTGAGTGGAAGATTGTTGCTAACTTTGTACTCTTAACTTCTTGCCTTATACAAAGTACTCTTAACTTATTGTGTAATTGCTTTCCAAGAGAATTACCTGTGCAATTGAGAAGGACTGAATTGAAGGAATCTTTAGTTAGCTGCTATATGATAGAAAAATTGCAGAACAACTTGCTAATTAGGAATTTCTTGATCACTTGCTTTGCGTTTTTATTAAAATCAAGCATGTCAAGCTTTGCATGTTCA